TGTCATTACGTTGTGTTAATCACTTCACCTGTCAAGTCTTACTGTTCTGCACATGCACACATGGATGAATCGATGAGTAAGCAGGAGGAGGTGACAGAACCAGAAATCGGTCATGATCTTATGTTGTCACATAGTCTTGATTACATTCCAGGACTCCTGAGGTTCATTTTATAGCTATAGTAATCTCTTTCTTATCAACTACATTTAAAAAAATGGTATTTTAAATCTATTTGCATTTCTAATCTGCTCAATGAGAGATATGAGTTCTGACTGCAGTGACAATAAGTCAAGGATACAACTAATTCACGAGCAGCAAGCTAGAGATTATCATATAAACATCACTGTATAATAGGTGATTCTCCTTACTACAGTGGAGAGGTCTTTCCAAAGAGAAAGATGGGGCAACTGAGTACTAGAAGCTAGATAGTGTGTTTAGTGATAGATGAAACTTGAAGGCAAGTAATCTAAATGTTTAGACAGCTTTGGTTCCTGCCCCAATTTTTTTCTTCTTGTGATGCTCTTCTATCATACCCTACCAGTAAGCTTTCAAAGCATTACTCCTGCAACCCAAACTTGATTTAAGTGAAGAGGAAAATTAAAGATATGAAAGTAGGGTTTTTTTGGGGTGGAGTTTTATTTTGGGGGGGATTGGTTTGTTTTTTTGGGGGATTTTTTTGTTGTTGTTGTTTGTCAGCCAGGCATCTCCTTCCTCTTACCCTTAGGAATTCTGTATGTTAAACAACTCATCCAGGATGTTATTCTCAAACCATTCTGTTACCTATTCCCCAGTTAAGAAGGAACATTTACCATTTGGAGGAAATACTGATTAGAGAGAATAAATATTCCCTGCAGATAAATGTGTTGTAGATGAACTGCTTATGTGCCTATAAGGCTTGGATGCCATGTTTCACCAGTGAAAGTAACTTGGGGAGGCTCAGGTGTTCTTATCTTCATACTGAAAGATACCTTGCATGTTTTTCCACTTGTGCAAAGACTTCATAATAGTGAAGTGTTATGTCAAACTAAGTTAGATTTGCAATTAATTTAAAAGGCTAAAATCTCTAACCTCTGAAGATGACTTTCTTGCCGTAGTTGTGTATGCTGTGACAGGCTCTGTATCTGAAGCAATAATGGAAGGAAAGCCCAGAGATGGACAAGAATTCCATGTGGTTTCCAGAGAGATAGATTGGTCTTATTTGCTGTACGGTTGTTGAGGTATTGAGTTCTGTGGGAAGAAATTAATTCCACTGGATACGTTTAGGAGAGGTTCTGCTGTTTATACTTAAGTTTACACTACAGTTTGTTAGAACCATAGTTGATGGAAGAACAAGAAGCAGGAATAGATCACATTGGATTGCTGAAGTTGTGGGATAGAAAGGAGGGGTTATCTACAGAGATGACCTGATTCATCTGCCTCAGTTGGACAGATGATACTTTTTAACCTGTCCTTGTTGGTGCAGTGGCTGTGTCTGCCTGGGGAAGAAAGATGTTCCCTCTGGTAAGAGTCTCATCTGTTTGTCTTGATCTATGGTTTATACTGTTGCGAATGTATGAGGGCTTTGGATGCAGGTGCTCTGTTTAAGCCTCTTGGTGGCATAGTGTTGGTGATGTCATGGTATTTTTGTAGAAAATAATTTCTGCTGTTCTTTGCTTGTGTTTTATCTACAGTTGTGAAGATAGTTGTCAAGAGTATATGACTGTCTCTCATGCATTTTTCTAGGCTGTATCTGTGGCACCGGGAGGCTCTGCTGAGCTTTTAGTTTGTTGCAAACATTTAGACCTGGCACCAGGAGACCCAGTCAGAACTATTCATTGTGCTGTACAAACACAAAGGATGAAGCCACTCCTGAGGGGCCACAGTCCAGGAAAAGCAGGAAGCCCAAGGATGAAACCTCAGTCTTGTGCCCAGCTATGCTTGTTAGTAGATAGCCAACTTAAATCAAACTGACTGTGACCTGGTGTTTAGCGTTGTGTAAGTTGAAACTAGTATTTCTACCCAAGAGTCTTACATGGAAATTCAGTATTATGGCAGGGTATCTCTGTATCTGAGCAGCTCTAACCAGGGCATTTCCCTTCAGCCAGGTAATCCAGCACAGAATTGTCATTGAAGAACTCTTTGTATGCCTGTCTAAGATAGCTTCAGACTTAAAGTAGAGGGTTTTGGGGGTACTACCTTGTGGGTGTGAATGGGGTTTGGTATCTAAAAAAAATTATATGAAAGGCTGCATTTCCTACTGTGGTGGCTTCTTGACTTGAATACCTGAAATCCTCTTTCCAGGAACTATAAGAAACATTGGGCTATTTTGAGGTTATTCTTTATGTATGTGTTTGTGTATAATGTGAACGAGAATGTTCATTCAGTAGAGTTGAAATGATGAGGTTTAACTGCTGAATTAAAGCCTTCTCTGTGTCCACGTTGTCCTTTTCACTTCTGGGAAAGCATCTGTGTCTGAGAAGAGAGTTTATAGTATGTGCTTCTATTTTAGCATACGTTTCAGTGTTCATTCTAAGTGGTTTTGCTGACTTAATCTGAAGTTTGACAGGCCTGATTCTGCCCATCATTGGAAAGGACTTGGCTTGTTTTCTGTGCCCAGCATAGTGAAAATCAAATTAAGGGCCCATCAATCTGGATATACTGCAAGGACTATAATGCATTTAGCTTTCCTGAAATGCCCCTCAACGGATGGCAATTATAAATTAGTAGTCTCATTTTTCAAAGTTTAATTGGAATGTATGTGGGCTGATTTAAGGTCTTCAACAGATTAAAGCTAAACCATGAAACAATTGAGCCAACCTACCACAAAAAAAAATTTCAGTGTGGGGATTAGTAACTCATTTGGTGCTAACGGTATGAGAAGACTTTTCCTGAAATAAACATGAAACACATTTGCCAGTTTTTAGACTTGTTATTTTTGGGTAACTTCATGGTAGGTTCAAATTGCTTGCCTTAGTATAATTATAAGGAAGAATTAGTAAATGAAGCCTGGATCTTGTACTTTTGGCTCTGTGCAATAGTTAACAAAAGCTGGCCAATAGAGAAGGTCTCTGGTCTTGTTCCTATAAAAAGGTCTCCTGTTTATGTGATGGCAGCAACCATCAGTTATTTTTCAGTTGTCCAGTTTGGCTGTGAGCCAGTACATTGTAGAATAGCTGGTTTCCTTGCTGTGACTTTGGCATGTCGAAGTGGTTTTGTAACTCCTTTTTAAATGGGATTTATGAAAGTGGGGGACTAGTGGTATTTGTTTGCTAGAACTGAGTTCGGGCAGGGCCCATGCTGTGTAAGTGTCACTTAACTTTGCCACTAATCTTGGAGATATAGCACCACCTGCTATTCTTGCTGTAAGTTTTGCAAGTGAAAATGGAATTATCTGTTATGGTATAGTGGTTTGTAAATGATCTGTGGCAGTCTAGTTTTAAACCATTAAACTTGTGCACTCTGTGACTCAAATACAAACTGAAACATTCAGAGTAGAGAGATTAGGATATAAATACAGTATCACCTCATTCCAAGGAAGAAGACATGTTAGGAATAGGTGTGGATCCAGCAGTCCTTCTTGTGTCCTCAGGAGCTTTTTCCTTTTTTTTTTTTTAAGTTGGAAAGACAAGTTAAAATTGTGGATTATCTAATGCAGAGCACACCGATATTTGTAGTACTTATCAATAATGGGGGTTTAAATTGTGTTTTTTGTTTAAGAAAACTTTCTGCCGCTTAAAGGATCAAGCTTAAGCACTTGATTAAGTCTTTGGGAGTAGCTTGCCAAATGTTCTTGGGAATATGTCATACTAAGAATAATGTCTTGCAATGCTAGTAACTTTGGATTTGGGCAGTTTGATATTCCTTGGTAAATTCAAAACAATGAGAACTTTTCTGGCCTTTATAGAGTGTTGTGTTTAATAAGCTTTCAGTGGACTTGGTAAAAGCTTGCAGGCATAGGCCATAGTGCTAGTTGTCTGCAGATTTTTACTGTGAGTTGAGGAGAGTCAGGTGGACTGCCAGTTCTCAATGTTTTCATTAGGCTTGTGAGTGTTAGCGAACCAGGCTTGTGTTGGAGCTGAGTTTTGTCTGTTTAAGTCCAGACTTGGAGCTTTCAACTAGAGAAGTGCATGTGTTTGAGTCTTGCAGGGCTGGGTACAGGCTGTGTGGGTGTTTGGATGGGACATTTCTGCTGAATGAGAGGGGGAATTAGAGCTGGTAAGTAGATGATACTTTTGCTTAGGGGAGAGCAATTGTCAAGTCTGTAGCTTCACAGTTACTAGAGATCAGTGAGGCCATGTTGCTGACTGGCTGAAAAGTAATTGAAAAACCTGAAAAATGTTACATGTGGCACAAAGAAGGGAAAGGGGGATGTTGGCTGGTGAGAGAGAAAGTCCCCCTCTGACCCTTTCAGGGCTAGCCCTCAAATTGAGTGGAGTTTATCATGTAATCAGAGGTAAGTATTGCACCTATGAAAGAAATGCCATGTGGTGCTTGTTTGCTGCCAGGAGCAAATCTCTCTGTGGTCAGAATGTGGGAGTTCTTGCTAATCAAAAAATTTTATCAGTAAGTTTAAATTGTCAAATGGCAGGTTAACTGCTAGCAAGAGAAATGCTCTTAATACCTTTTAGCAAAACATTTTGTATTTTATTGAAGGGAGAAATGATCCCTGTCTTTCATGGTGGTTTTTTACGTTGAGTGTTTGAAGCAGTTGTAATTAACTTGCATGAAAGATGTTAGAGGAGCTTAATAGTATTACTATGAATTATATGGGGCTCCTTGTGATTGATATCAAAGCACTTCATGCTCTTTTTTGGCATTGTTTCACAGTAGCAACTTTGTCTGGAATGTGGCTTTTGTGCATGCTTATGTTAATCTATGCATATGAACTTCTTGCCTAGTGACTTCTGAATCGTATAGCATGCTAGTTGAGATAGTTCAGGTGCCTCTCTGAAAAGATTGTAATTTATCTTGGTAGTGGTGCAGTGCAGATTGATTTAGACTTCTCCTGTTCTCTTATCCACAGCAATTGGAGCAGATCCAGAAGGAGCTAAGTGTTCTGGAAGAAGATATTAAACGAGTAGAGGTGAGGTGCCCAGACATTGTTCTTACACTGGCAATTTTTCATTTTCATCAAGCTGTCTGCCTTGCTGTGGGGCTGCTGTGTTAAATTTATGGCATTTGAGGCAGTAATGGGAAAATGAACAGATGATGTTCTTTAATTCGTTCATTTAGTTGGTGTGTGCAAGCTGCAGTTTGGTGAGAGGGGGTTTTGTTGAAACCTTGTTCTTATATAATTGTATCTTTCAATTTCTTTGTGTTGGTAGTAAGTATTTTAGAGTAATAGAAATGAACAGCCAGTATGACCATAACATAAAATTTTTTATTTTGCGTTGCCGTGTCTATTTGCACAGGCTGCTTAAATCTTAGCAGCATGTCGTTCTTAAAATGGAGAGGTGTTGGGCGTGCACAAGAAAGCTGTAATGCAGAGACTGGGTAGGACCAGAAGCTGTTTGTGCTGCATGTCAAAACAGAATCAGTCTCCTACCTCCTGATAAAATTATCTTAATCCCTTAATGATGGAGATATCTTGAGATTTTTTGCTAAGAATTATTCTCCAAGTACTTGTAAACTCATCAGCTCTATTCTTCTGTCCTTACTGAGTCTAAATTCCTCCTTGGTCCTTTCCTCTAATCATCCTAGTGTTTTGATTTTGGAGTAGGAAACTGATGTTTGGAATACATCAAACTACCACCTCTGAAGACAGCATTTCCTTAAAGCTTCTTGGGATCAGTTTGAAGGTCTGCTTCTCTCTTCTTGCTTGTCTCAAGCAGTCAGCACAAGCTCCCAACCACTGCCCAAAAGCCTCTTAGATTTCTTCACTTCCAATTTATATGCTTGCTGATGAATTATAAAAATACAAATAGAACTGACAACTGCAGGAACCTCCCTTCAGCTGATAGCTATGCCAATTGTAAGCTGGTAGATACAATATTTTTCAGACCTATTTCCCTAAATGTTTCTCAGCTCTTGAGGAGAAAAATACACCTTAGCATGTTTCCTTGAGACTGGTAAAATAGGTCTTCAGATCTAAGAAAAGTTATCCCTGGAGCTGTGGGATCCCTCAAGGAATATCTAGCTACCTGCTTTTCTGCTTTTTAGTCAAGCACTTCAATGAACTGCACCTGGAGTATGTTTCCAGTGTGTGATAGTGACCTTGGTTCTGACCTTTAAAGCCTGGGATCTCTCTTGTCACAAATATCCTGCTTTCTACCCAACAACTAATGGGCACCTAGTGGGAATTTGAAAAGCATCAGTAATGTCCTGGAACAGTTTCCCCCCTGCGTAACTAATGAGCTGCAAGGTCCTGCGTAGCTTCCATTTCTCAAACAGATTAAAGGTATTCTCATACTGGCTACACAGCAGTGATTTAGTCTGGCGATGCAAAGCCAAGTTTATGTACAAAGTTTGTCTCTTTTGCACTTGCCCCACAGAAGACTGATAGATCCTCTTTTAAGTCTGGTATCATCCATGATACTACCTTTGTCCTGTCATCTTGTGTCTGTTCTTGCCATGACCCATATCCAGCATTACTTTCCAGCTGTGAAGGCTATTAGGTACATTTTCACTCATCTCAAAAGTGCAATTACAGCTTGCTTGTTCTGCCATGTTTAAAGGAGGTGCTGGATTAGAGACAATTGAACGGTAATTAAAATCATTGATTTTTGGAGTATAAGCTCCAGAACTGCCTCTTTTGGGGCAAAAAGCACTGTAGATGTGAGATTTCTGAAATGTGGTTGGAATGATAACTGGGTGGGGAGGGGCATTAAGCCCCGGTGTTTCTTCAGATACAGTAAGGACTTCTGGATGAGTATTGAATAAAAGTAGGTAGTTTCCAAGTCATCTGCTTGGAAAACCAAAAATTACTATGTGAAGACTTATGTGTATCTTAGACAGTGCCTACTATTCACGTTCTGTCAGCTTTGCTGTAACATGACTTTCTGTTTTAGGAGATGAGTGGCTTGTACTCCCCGGTCAGTGAGGACAGTACGGTGCCGCAGTTTGAGGCTCCCTCACCTTCACACAGGTACAGAGCTTGCAACTCAGAACTTGGATTTCAAGCTGTACATGTTGCACTGTACTTGCTAGTCCTCTCTGTGCCATGCCCAAAACACAAACAAAGCTATTTTTTGGGTGTTGTACAATATTTTCTTATTCTGTTCTTGATTGGTATAAACTTACTGCGAACAAAGCAGTGAAGAAAAAGCCATCTGAGTCTGCAGATGGACAAAGTCTCTTCTAAACCACATGGTTTTAAATGTAGTGGATCAGTTAACTTGGATCATAAGCCTTTGCTATGGTATGAAATATTACTGTTAAATACATGCTACCTTTTCTGAACGTTATAAAGTTCTTGGCATATGAAAGGCCTTAATTTTCACAAGGGCCAAGTTACGTTATTATATGATCTTCTCTCCTGCCTCTTAATAGTAGAGTTCTGTAAGCTGTTGACTTCTGTACAAAATTATACTGGTACCTTTTCTGCGGTCAGCAGCTCTAACCTGATAGCCCAGAAGTAAGAGAAAATGAACAGATTTCCTCTACATAGATTAGATACAATGCTTTGGTAAGGAGCCTAGCAATACTGGCTGGGATTTCTTACAAGATGTTATTTCTGAACTCCAAGACCACAATCTCTCATATTTATATGAAAAAAGAAATATAGCCCTGGGGGAAAGGACAGGAATATGGCCAAGGTGGATGGGAATAGTGTTTGTTATTCTGCAGTTCTGTTTGTTTAATTTTTTTGGGTGCAGGTGTATGTTTTGGTGTGGGTTGTTGCTCTCTTGCCAAGAAGCAATTTTGTGAAGCTGATGAGATTCTTGTCAGGTTCTACTAGTTTCCTGTTTACTGGCTTTTAAATAGATTGCTTGTTGTTTGCTTCATGGTACTGATGCTTGGGGAAAGCTTGAGCACTGATTGGGCTGAATTTGTTACATGTTGAACACTTTCAGGTCTAGAAACCTTTCCCTTTTTTTAACAGAAGATTGTATTTAAGAGTAGAAAGATATCTCTATTACTAGAGCCAAGCAAACAAACAAGCTCCCAAAAACTTTATTGGCTGGAATAACATTTTAGGCCCAAGAGTTTTGGTGAAAGCGTTGGGAGAAACAAATCTGCTGTGTGAAACCTACAGTTTTCAGTCTATTGAGAATTTCTTACTGCTACTTTATGCCTGTTTGATTAACCCTTGCACATGAAGAATTCGTGGTTCTTGATTTTGAAGATGTAACATAGCGTCCAAAATATTTTCACTTTGAATTTGTGATTTGCTTGAGGTCTGCTGGGAGACAGCAGTGGGTTAGACCATGGCAGGTGCAGAGACCATGGGCTCTCTTTCCTGCCTGATCATCTTAATGCTTGTCTAGTTCCATTTCAGCTAGATCTTGAACTTTTGGGGGTTTCCTCTGGTACAGCATGCCAAGGGTGTGATATAGTAGGGTATTTAGGGATTTTCTAGGGGTTGCCTTTTTCTCTTGGCTTGAGAAGACCCCTTTTCTGTTTTCCAATGCTTTTCCTGTGTTGAGATGTAGTCTTGAGTGCTTGAAGAGAAGATTATGGGAAGGAAGTGTCTGAACAGGCATGAGTTGTTGCTGGACTCTTAACTTCTGTCCCTGCCCTATCCTGACAGGATTTTTGTGAAATTCAAGTAATTGCATTGCTTTGAATTACCAGAACTCGCACTCCAGAAAGGTCTACCACTTGAAATTCATTTTCTTTTCAACATTAAAAGTAAGTTTTGGAAAGTGTCTCAAAACCTGTAACTTTGATTCCTCCTTGGGAAGAATGCTGCAGAACAATTAAGAGGAGCTTTAAAATACACTGATGTTTTTTCAGCTCTGTTAACTGATATATTTAATCTCCAAAGTGCATTTTAGAGGTGCCGTGAACTGCTAAGAATGACATACAAATATAGTTTGTCATGTTTTCACTTCCATGTTAAAATGTTAATAGACTTGCAGAGACTTTTTTACTTATCAGTGAATTAAAATGATATATTTAAATTGGAATAGAACTTTAACATGCGTAACACCCTGCTAATGAAATAAAATTGTATAAAATTTTACTAACGTGTCTTATAGCAAAAGGTTATCACAGACCTGTGCTGAGACGAAGAAAATCTCTTTAGCTTTTGAATTTAAAGTTCAAGAAAATAGATCTCTTTGGAATTCGGTTTTATTTGGTCTCTAGTGACTTGCCCTTATTCATCTACTTCCTCTAAATCACTGACTTGCTTCATTCTCTGTTTCTTTTCATTGTTTGTAACTTTTTCCCCCCACACACACTCTTAACATCTTCAAAATGTGAAATTACTGTGTCTCCCCCATGTTCCTTCATAAGTTCTTTAGCAAAATACCAAGCATGCCTATCATGTTCAATACATTCTTGGCTTCAAGAAACATGTGTTTTCTCTTACGCTTGTATAGGGTATGGTGAAATATTGAATTGGGTAATAGCACAGCACTTGTTTACAGTGTTGCAGTTTGCTGGGTTTGTATACTAATAGAGAACAAGAGGAGAAAAAGGGAAAAGAACAAGTAGTTCTGTGTAGGCTTTTTCTGAACAGGTGCATGTGCTATTTTTGCTACCAGTAAGTAGTGCAAGCAGGAGCTACAAATAAGCAACTTCTAGGTGACTAGATGTGCAGGAGTAATAGCAGTAACAAACTATCACTGTAATAGGAGCTTCTGGGGAAAGATTCTGATGTAAAAATTAGTTGCTTGGTAACTCTGATTCAGTTATCAAAATCCTGATCTCCTTCCCCTCCATTTATTGTAATTACCAACGCCCAGCCCTGTAAAAGGATATAACAAATGGGGTTTATAGTCTGCAGGTTGCTGTGTTGTTGTTGAAGGTTTTTAAATGTCATGTTAGTGTAGCTGAATTTCCTGACTGAACCTAATTACAGCTTTTTAAAAAGAATTTAGAGGGCACTTTGATAATTTTCTGATTATTTGCTTCCTGTTTTTAAAAGGAAGAACATTCATGCGTATGGCAGTTAGCTTGGCTACAGGCACCTCACAGAAATTACTTTGATTTTGTATTCTGGTTAGGGACATGACATCTGCACTCTCAAAGGCTTTACATCACCAGAGAACCTGCAGCAAAATGAGACCAGATGCTATAAATTTGTGTGTTTTGCTGTTAATTGCCACTGTACCTGTCTCAGAGTGCTTTTTCATAGCATTCCAGCCGAGCATGTTATTCATGCTGTTCCTAGCAGGGTCTGCTGTATGTGTTTCATTATTTCATGTGGCCACATTCTAAATTAAAGTTCATTGTCCCTGGCCATGCCTGAAACAGCTCTGCTGTTTTTTCCCTTGCAATAGCTTGTAGCAAAGAATGATTTTATCCCTCAGATTTTCTTTGTTTTCAGCTTTTGTCTTGCCTGAAACAGAAGCTCAATCAACCACGTCTTACAAATTAACCACTAATGAGATTTTAAAATAATCTCTCATCTTCTGTTTCTACTTCCCTCCACCTCCAGGGAAGCTTTAAAGTGTTCAGGGAAATATTTAAGTGCTAGTAACATTTTTTCATCCTTCTAGATTTACAGGTGCCCTGATCAGCATTTCAGTCAAACCACGTGTTTTGTGACCAAGAATGTCAGGTGTACGCATCAGTTCTGGTACCTGTTAACTAAACATCAGTAGGTACAATAGTCTTTTACAAAACCAGAACCTATAGCAGTGTTCTACCACCTTTTTAAAGAAATGTTCAGCTTTCCCAAACAATGCTTAAATCTAAGGTTATCTCATAAGTAAGACTGAGAACAAACCCAAATAGTTTCTTTTCTGTCCAAGCCAAACAACATAGCAGTAGAAGTGAGTTATAAAGATTTCTTTATTTCTTTTTTTTTTTTTTTTTTTTTTTTTTTTTTTTTTTTTTTTTTTTTTTTTTTTTTTTTTTTTTTTTTTTTTTTTTTTTTTTTTTTTTTTTTTTTTTTTTTTTTTTTTTTTTTTTTTTTTTTTTTTTTTTTTTTTTTTTTTTTTTTTTTTTTTTTTTTTTTTTTTAGAAACAAATCATGGTGCTGTTTGTAATGTGTTCTGCATAAATAATAAAATGGTGTTCTTGTGTACTAACCTTCACTTGTCCTAAAAGTATATTAAATTTGAGTGATAAGGGTGCTTAATCTCACTCTGCAGTCTTATTGTGAGAGCTAAATATTTTGCACATATGTGCAAGAATACTGAACCACTTGTCTTCTGCTTGTAGCAGTAGATCCTTTTGCAGTTTTGAAAGTTAAATCTCTTGAATTGCATATGTGTGCTATGTTTTGAAAACAGCGATTTAAAGTGTGTTGTGTCATTATAGACACTATGTAGTTCTACATGGTGTAGCATTTTCTAATAATGGAAATCCTGGCTGTCAGTATTTCTGTAGTTTATTTCTATATTTCATTACTTGAGTCCTTTGTGTGTCTTCAGAGATGTCTGGAATACTAGTGTCTGTTTTAAGCTGCTTTCTCTAGCTTTTCTTTCACAGTGCTATTTGAAATGCCATGGTATTCAACTTTTTTTAAAGGAACTGAAAAACAAAGGTAGCATGTTCTTTTCAGAATGTCTTATCCTGCATATTTCGTACAAAAGATATGCTTTTGCTTTCTGATTAGAAGTTATTAGATTGCACTACACATAATGATGTGACAGCATTCTGCTCTAGGAGATCTCTGTATTAAAAAATCCCTCCCAAACCCCCAAACAAAAAATAACCTTGAGTTCCCTGCCTGTGAAATGGTTTTCAAAGGCAAGTGTGCTGCAGGATATAAAGCAGAAATAGAAAACGGTTTAAAAAATATAAACGATGGTCGTACATTGATTTAAACAGACTATTTCTTTTGGTTTTGCAGTAGTATTATTGACTCCACGGAGTATAGCCAGCCTCCAGGCTTCAGTGGCAGTTCTCAGGTAAGGTAATATATGTGTCTGTGCACAGGGGACTGAGAGGGTGAATGTGCAGGTTTGGCACAAATGTCAGAGATTAGGCACAAATCTGTCCATCTTCAAGGTACTGCTCAACTCAACTCTTGCAAAGGTTTTTAATTGGCTATATCAGCAAACTGAAACCAAGATTACAGCTGAAGGAATGACTGTACATGATTGTGTCTACACTGATGCCATCAAAGAAATCTGTTGTAATATATTTAGATGTCTGACTTTATTCCCAAAGCTGACTCTTCCATGGAAGAGGGGATTTATTTTTTTTTTTTTGTTGTTTTTGTTTTTTCCTCTTCATCTCTTCTCCCAAGTGGACAGCTTTTGGGAAGGAAGGTAACTCCCTGACCCTTTGCATTGAGTTAAACAGCTTTGGATCCAACTTGAACTTCAAAATAAGAAACACTCATTCTCTCAATATACATTCATTTTGTAGTTCGTCCTCATTAGTGCTTTGCAAACTATTATAAATTCACATAGAAGGTAAAAAGTTGCATATACAGTGAAGCTGTCTGGCGGGCAGCCTCCAAACCAATTGACTGCAGAGCCTCCAGAATACCAAGCAGCACTACTGTAGTCTTGAAACTCACAGTGATTCTGCTGGGCTGGGATGATGTCACTGATATCCAGCTCAGTTTCAAAAAGGTTAAACAGTTTTGATTTGGACACATGGACTGTTGGTTATGTGCTAGCTGATGCTTTTGGTGCTCTCTGGTGGTGATTGACCATCTGTGGCACAGCGGTATCAAATTGGTAAATTTAACAGCAGTCAAAAGGGTAAATTAACATATGGAAATGTTTTTGGGTCTTATTTGATGGATTAGCTGATGTAAAGAAATAAACACCTGAATTTTGGGCTGGTGTGCGTATATGTGTGCATGTAGGGTTTGGGGTTTGCAGCTGTATAATGGGTAATTAGAAAATTCCATCTACTAGTCTGTGGGGAAAGAGCTTGTTCCTGCTACTGCAGTCTTGGGAGGTTTTTGCTTGAACAAAGAACTACCTTACTTCAGAGGGCAGGTGAAATTTGGGTGGATATTTTATGTTTAGGACTCTGATATGGTACACTGTGTTTGTTTTCCACTGACAGTACTTGCCTCAGTACCTTCCCATTTCAAAGACAAAATTAATAGCATAGCTATACTGCTGGTAGGCACACAAAACAATCAACCTAGACTTTCTAGTCATTCTGTATGACAGCCTTATTTATGTGAGATTAATCTTTTTTTTGTCTTCAAATATAATTTTTTGTCCTCAAGAGTGCAAGATTTGTACTCTAGTACAAATTTTTGAATTAAACTTTAATGCGTGTTTGGATGAGGAATTGAAAGAGAACTCTTGAATTTAACACTTTATTCAAGGTACCATAAACATAGTTTTAAGAATACAAATTCAATTGTTTCTTTCTAATTGTCAGTCATGGCAGCAAAAATCATAGATTGGGCACTGCTGGCAGTAGGAAGCTATACTCAGGTGGACAGCATAGCTTGCTTTGTCGATAACTTTGTGTATTGCTCACAAACTTGTTCTTAGGGAAGAATTTATATCCCGCAAAGCTACAGGACAGTTTTCTTCCAGAAGCAGGCATTCAGAAGTAAATAGTGGACAAGTCACTTAGGCTTGGGGAATTCTGCAGGTAGTATTTGGGGCAGTACCTTTCTTTGCTAGAAATAAGGAGCTTGTGTGTAGCTATGAAGCATTTCCACAGTTAGAGGACTCTTGAGAGCACCTGATGAAGTTCAGATATTAAAATCAGTCTTGATAACAGAGCAATCTGAACTAATGTCCTCAACTAGGACAACCACAGTCATTTTAGCAGTTGAATAAAAATTGCTTGGGTGTATTTTCTCTCCCCCCCCCCCCCCTTATTTTTTTCCCTTCCTGTTTCCCAGCATTGCTTAACAAGTAGCCAGGGAGCAGGCATCACAGAAACTGAATATATGTTTTGATAAAACATTAACAGTTTAAAATCTCTAGATGTGGAGAATATGATGACAATGGGCTAATGCACACTGATTCTCAGCACAGCTGGGTTGCCACGTGCAAGCCTGAGACCAGGGGGTATCTTCCTCTGGAGACCCAGCAGGTAATCATCACACAGCAGTTAAATACATACCATGTTTGATTCCATCTTGATGTGGATTTGGCTTATCTGCAGGTCAGGCTTAAGCTTGGGTTTATGTCACTCATCATGTTGCAGGTGGCTTGTCTTAACTTCCGGCTGAAGTGACTGCAGGTGATGCTTGAAGTTGTCTTGAACCCTGATCACTCCTGATGTGATGAGATATGCTGGAGCCCTTGGAGGCTGGTGCACAAAATTAATAGGAAGATGCTATAAATGTGTTCCTTTAAGTATTTCTTAAAGCTGTGAAATTTTAGAAAATCGTGGTTAAAAGGCGTTGGTGTAGGTGTCCAGTGTTCTAGTTTTATGTTGAAATTGGGATTGTTTCAGAGATGAAGCAAGCTGCATAGACCATAGGTGCTGTCAATGTGCAAGTGTAAGTCATGATGTCAGTGTAGAGCCAAGGGCCTCATGCAGGAAAAGGCATCCATGTATTTCATTGCTTGGGGTTTATTTTTTCCCCTATAATGTTAAATGCTGTTCATAAAGGTATAAGCAGAATTCGAGAGAGGTCTAAGCTTAGTCTGTTCTTGTTGACTTGCTTGATGGCTGTAGTGAGGGCAGTGCATTCTCCTGTGTGGATTGAGGGGGAATGTACACAGTGGATTTAGATAGTGGCATTACAGGCATTGTATATGGTCAGGGCTGTTCTCCATTTGAGAACCACCGATCTCCTTAATATTTTAAAATTTCCCCATTAGCTTTGAGTATGCAATATGTGATGCTTCTTAAATAAAAACTAAAGTCAGGTACTTTTCCTGCTGCTTGTAATAGAGGCATTTGTTTCTCTTCTTTACTAGTGATTAAAACAAGAAGTACTCTATTTTCTGTTTTGCTTGTAGTTTCAATCCTTTGCTTCTACCTCTCACTGTTGCTGCTGGACTAGGTTGGAAAATGGCTTTAGAGATGAGTTTCATGGACTTCTTTTCAGTTAGCCTTTAAACTTCCTGGTGTCTTCCCCTTCTATCCTTATTTGCTTAGCTTTATGAAGAGTTACTGAGTTGCTTCAAAAGAATTCAGTAAGTATTTAAAATAAACACCTCTTCTTAATTAGCTGTCTGACAGGGATCTAGGAAGTATTTGTTGTGCAATCTGATTTGTGAAGCTGAAAGCATGGTATGTTTGGCCTCTGATGTCCAGTTGTATAAATGCAAGATATGACTCCCCAAGGATGCTGTGTCTTGCATGTAAGGCCAGAATCAATTTTGCAAAAGTTCAGGAAACAAGAACTGTCTAAAAGCAGCTTTTCTTGTTTGTTAAGTTAAAGGGTGCAACATAGGACCATAAGAATAACTGTTGATGTGGCAAGATCTTCATTTATTGTCATTTTACACTTCTGACCCTTCACATATAATGTATAAATTGCTTATAATTTAGTAAAATCTATTGAAATGAAACCTGGGTTGGGTTTACCTGTCTGAAGTGTTCTCTCTTCTCCATTCAGACCAAAAAGCAGCCATGGTATAATAGCACGCTAGCCTCACGACGGAAGCGGCTCACAGCTCATTTTGAGGACCTAGAGCAGTGCTATTTTTCCACCAGGATGACACGTGTGTCGGGTGAGTTCCCCTTGCATGTGTTCAACTTCTGACATCAATTACCTCTTACAGTGCCCAGTCCTCAGAAAAGACTTGCTTTTGAAAGAGCAGCTTTCACTTCTTGCATGCATGGGAATGTTGCTATACATATTTATGTGTTACTCAAATCATCGAGTCTTACTTTTCTTAACCAGTCTTTGAAGTTGCTAAATTTAGAAAATTTAATCCCGTCACATGTTTTGCTTTGACATCTGTACTGTGAAGGGCATAACTCACAACAAACTCTTTCATTGATGCTTATTCTGAAGATGCAAATGTTTGATTGAAAGCAGTGGTTGAGTTGTGTTTCTACTGTGGTATAAACATGGTAGTTAAAAACATTGCTATTGAAATACTGCAGAGGTATGAACATAAATTGATACATTCTCCTGTATTTAGCATGCAATAGGACACTTGGAGGTTATTCTCTGTTGTCTAGATTGAGTCTTGGTTAACAAATGACTTGGAATATAGAAGCTGAGCGTGCAGCAGCATTGTGGTCCCATGGGGCACACCTTAGATTTAAGTCTTATTTTGTGGAATTAAGAAGCTGTTTTCACAGTTGCCTAGATTGTTTCATTCATAATTCAGTAACAGTGTGACAACAGCTAGAGTCATTGTTACCTAGTGGATAGATGGTTCTTAATTAAATGGCAAGATTTTCTTAAGAAATGAATGGGTCAAATTAATACATCTTGAGGGTGAGGAGGGTTGCTTTGCAGCCCCTTCGGGGAAGAAATGAGCTTTGGGAAAAAAGCTTCAGTCAAAGGGCTGTGGCAGGCAAGGTATTTGCAGCATGGAGCTCCAGCCAATGTGAAGAGTGACAAGAGTGGAGAGCAAGAAGCAGAGTGCAGCCAGCCCTCAGTGGATGGAAGAAACCCAGTAGGGACAAGAGGGAACCAGGCAAAGGTTGTTGCAGTAGAATATCTGTGCTTCTAGCCTTGCAAGGCAAGGACCAACCTTCCAGGACACAGTGAGATCAGTGAGAGAGCTAGGGTAGAACCTCCTGATTTATTTATTTATTTATAATAAATTTAGCTTGTTTTATTCTCTGTAAATAAAAGTGAGCCTTGTGTGGGTCTTTCTCTTTTCTTTCTTTTTTTTTTTTTTATGGTGTTTTTTTTTTTTGTTTTTTTTTTTGTTTTTTAATTAAAAGAAGTTGGCCTTAAAGGCTGCAGTGTGTTTTAGGGGAGCTTGGTTTTAGACATATCTGCATCTACGACCTACTTCAGAGCAGTTACTGACTCAGTTCTCATCATGCACATCAAAATAGTTTTAACAAGGAATGCAGCATGTTGAGAGGGTGCTGCAGTAGCTCCAAGATTGGAAAAGCTGGTTGGATGTGACCAGCCAGTTTCCTGTGAAGTGCCAGCAAATGCTTTATAGAATACAGTACTTCACACTGAGATGTTTTCACACCATGCTATCTTGGTGATGCATAACTGTTTATGTTAAATAATACTTATTAACCAAGGATAACAAATAGGGTTCTTCCCAGCATTCTTGTGAAAAAGACATTTTTCTTCATAATTGGAACTATAAATATGAATGCAGTGAAACTGGTTTTCTGTATTCATATGTGTCAGCTGCACCAAGAGCAGAGGATTTGCAAATGCAGGTTATTTCCCAAGTCAGGGATAACCTGTGATACTTGATGAAGCTTTCTTCTCTTAAGTCATTCCTGTTTTTTGAC